TAATAATAATACTAATAATAGTAGTATTATTATAGTGCCTTTAAGCATTACATATTTTAAAGACCTAAACCTCAGCTGTTTAACAGAATATGTGCAATTTTTCATATATTCAGTTTATTTTTTGACAGATGAGGCATTTCAAACACACACACACACACACACAACCCTGATTGATGATTGACTCCAATCATGTTTCACAAAGACTCCCCGGAGTGGGGAGACAAAACACAGCAAACCTGTTTATTTACATTGATTACTCAGCCTCACAGACTCTCTTACACACGCACGCACAGATGTTTGTAACTGACAGATAAACAAACTCCCATCACTGGTTAACACTAATCACCCCATGCAGATGATCTCTGAATCTTCAAGTTCGGGTGCCAAACAACTAAAACCAATCGGACACAGCCGGCATCACACTGTCAACAGATTTCTTTTCGCTTGGATAACAGGTCGTATTTTTCCCTCAGAATGCAACTTACAAAATGTCACACTCTGAAACAGGAAACAAAATTGATTAAAACGTGTTAAAGGAAAAGTTCAACCAAAAATGAACTTCTGTCATCATTTACTCAGGTCTCATTTTTAATTTAAGATTGCAGACAAACCATTGATTGGCCACTCTGAGTAACTCAGTTGTTGTGTCAATCCAGAGACTGATAATTCACAGACCCAGAAACACCACAGCACCCTCTTCTGAACAGTAAAGGCTGCTTTTCTGCAAAGGTACTGAAAACAAGTAAAAGCTGAACATATTTTCTTTAACAGACTATAAAAGAGACTCTACAGTGTCCTCAACTAACACCCAAACCTATAAACAACCTTTACATTGAAAGAATGCAATGAATAAGAATAAATGAATAAATAAGAACAAAAACACATCGACATTGGACTATTCTCTACAAGGACTTGAAAAAAAACCCCACATTGACAGTGATCTATCCTGAATAAGAACTTGATGAAAAAGCGAAATAAAATAAAATCACAGAAACAGTGTTCAACGCTGCACAAGGACTTGGACTATACTTAGACCAGGGTGGATATTTTTCTGTTTTTATTTACATTTACGGGTTCCTGGTAAATCATAAAGCTGAAGAAAAAAGTAGCGTTTTTGCTCAGAACTAACGAATATTTTTAAAATTCTTATTTTGAGAATAAAAAATAGCCTACTTTATTGCTTGATACCAGGATTGTCTTTGAGTATTTTTTAACATATCGCCCAGCCCTCTCAATCCAGGACCTCACCCATATCCTGCAGGTTTTCCCTCTTATTTTCTCTGCACAAACTGCACTGCAAATAATTAGTGGCAGCTGTCTGTGACATTCACTGACACACTCTCTAGCTGTGTCCCAATGTAAAGGCTGCATCCTCCGAAGTCCGTATTTGAAGGCCGATTGCGTCACAGCCGCGCGACGAAGGACGTCCCGATTCAAAGGCTGCATCCGCGAAGGCCGCATTTAAAGGCCGATTGCGTCATTGCGGTGGGATGAAGGCTGTCCCAATTCAGTTATGCATCCTCCGAAGGCCGTATTCGAAGGCCGGTTGCGTCATTGCAGCGCGACGAAGGCTTACCTGATTCAAAAGCGACGCCAAATGCACCCTTCGTTTCCCCGTGAAAGGAAGGATACATAAATGGACACTTCGCGAACTATCCTACCCGATCCTACCCCATAAATCATTGCGCGGGTGACGACAGCATTTTTATTTAAAAAAAGGGTGGGCGAGAGAGTTCAGTGGTGGACGGAAAATTCACATTTAAATGTAAAAGTATTATGTTTTTATTTACTCAAATAGCCAGAGAAACCAGTGTTAACAGCCAAAAGTTTTTTTTTTCGTTTTTTTTTTTCTTATTGTTATTCTTAACTCATTCGTCAGCATTCCATGGTTTTTTCAAGTGGAAATGCGAAAACGGCTTTTATAGCCTTGTATTGTTTTTCTTGTACATTGTATTTCTTTATTATTCATTATTTCATTATTTTATGCAACTTTAAATGTGTACACAAAAGAGAATTCATGGCTCTGGATATTTGTTTATTTTTGTAAGGGTCTCTGAGTGTTTGCAAGGTTGATACATTTAAACTATGATATATTTTTGTTTTGTGTCCTTTAATGTAAAATGTGTAGTGTTGTTGTCCTGTGAGGGAAAAAAGTAGGCTACTTCACATTTGTACATGAATACTAGTACGAAGTTCCTTACATTCTCCCAGACTCCCACTGGTAATTTTAAAAATTAAAGTAACAAATTGTTGGTCCATTGTCACAATATTAACAAATTGTTGCTAACTTCAACTTCGTCCCATATCAAAGTGCGCACCTGAAGCGCTCGGACCGGTCTAGCCTGCGGAGGATTGTTCTTGTCGCCTAGCAACTGTGACTGACAGCTGACGACGACGAGCGGGAGTAACGACGTTTGCACTGGACTTTTTATATCCAACTGGTTTAAAATATTCAAATAGGATTGACAGCCTGTATAAATATATTCACCATGGTCCATTTAGACAATAAAAAGAAAACCCTATTAAATCGCATCAAGGTACGATTAACATTTGAATATAGGCTATATATGTGCCTATGTTTTATCATTATTATTTTTTTGGCTATTTCATTACAATATTTACGTAGGTTAACATTCAATATTTTAACAGTTTACAGTGTAATCTGACTATTCAGGATGCAGCCTCTAGCATTAAACCAGCTCTGGCCAACTCTTGAGCCGAAAATACATGACTCGAAATATTTTTTTAGTGGTTAGCCTATGTGAATTGAAATTATGTGATTTTATATATATTGCCCCTCATTTAAAGACAGGAAAATATAAAACATAAAATTTCCAGTAAAATATAAAACAACAAAATGACAATAGCCTGTCTCCATAGCTGTTTACTCAGTTTCATTAAATGAATGATCAGGGTGGCAGCTGTACTCTCGCTCCGTTGCTTGGCGCCAGGATCAGTAATAGGGAACACCTGGTTGCGCAATTAGGAAATCCCACGAAGGCTACATGAAGCGTCCTTCGAAGGCCAAATAGGCTGCATCCTTCGAAGTCTACAGCCTTCGAAGTACGCAGCCTTTACATTGGGACACAGCTTCTGACTGTCCAAGACTACAATCTGGTCCAATCAATGGAAACAGTCTTTCTGTTCGTTGAGTTCAGTTTTTATGTTTCAACAGTTGTTAGCGGTGTCCCCAGCTAAAGGGGGTGATGCCACCAAAATCGAAATATAATCATCATTTATCACATACAGCAATCTGGGAAACAGAATAGAAGTTAAGTTAGTCTCATGAGGTTTAACTTTTCATATTTTCCAGAGGCCTTAAAATGTTTTCGTATTTTTTAAAAGCAAAAGGAGAATATGTAGTCATTAGTTATTCCTGTACAAAAACAAACACCCCCATAAAAAAAGCCGGAAAGCTAGAGGGCCTCGGTCAAGAATCACATCAACATCCTCACAGGAAAGTGTCACGGCTCTATTGAGATTTCATTAAGATTAACAGTGAATCGATACAAGCAAGCACCAGAAAAGATTTATGCAGTGTCGCAGGGTCCAGCTTTGTTAAAAGAAACAGTCTTACAGATTAAGGTGGCTAAACATGAAGATTAACTCCAGGCTGATGTGAGACACCTGTGAAACACTGACCTCTTCATTAATAGCTTTGACCAGTTTAATGTTGACGTTCACAAAAATCAAAGCATTTTCCCTCTTTAACGTCCTATCTGCAAGGTCACGGTCGGGCCGAGCTGACATATTGCCACCCCGTTTGCCCATCTTATCGGGACGGGAGATCATGGAATTAGAAAAGAGAAAGTGTAGAGAAAAACTGAGATGCAAGCTGTCACCGTCACACCCATCCATCCACCCACCCAGCCACAAGAATTTGGGTACTTAAATTCACCAAGAAATCCAAATAAATAATTTTATTTGAATATTGCAATATTTATTATTAATTATGTATCCTTACACATCATTATTTATTACTTTTTTATTCACATGCATCATTATCTAATCAAAATAATTGCAGCGCCATCTCTTCTCTGATGATGTGTTAACTGACGCCAAGGCGGGACAAACTGTCACTCATATGAGATCCACCAATTGGAAACCAAAACCATCTAAACATCCAATGAAGTCCCGCCCTACATTTTTGGAATCTGAATTGAGCTCAATAATGACACCATTTTCTTCTGAAGAGCCGGTTTACAGATGAAATTTAAAGGACAAGTTCGGTATTTTACAATTAAAGCCCGGTTTTAAGATCGTCCCTGATGAAATAGAATAGTTAAGATTGTTTTTTAGACAGATGCTCCTGTCACGAGAATTTTTGGATTCTGTGTTAGCACCCCCCACCTTTACAATGGTAGCATAGGTGCACTCGAACAATCATTCATAAAAACGCATAAAACTTTAGTTTACAAAGACGTGAAACTCACCGAGTGGTCTGGGGTGTTCACTGATACGCTTACACAAAAATCGCTGCAAAAGATGCTTTCCAACAGGTTTTATCGTAGTTTTTTGTCCGACTTCATTTTCTTCCTGTTTTCGGTCGAAGTCCACAGTAGTAAATTGTCGAGTTCACATGCGCGATCATTGGTAACTAGATAACTAAGGATCGCGAACGCAAACTCGATAATCGACTATTGTGGACTTCGACCAAAAACAGGAAGAAAATGGACTTGGACAAAAACTACGATAAAACCTGTTGGAAAGCATATTTTGCTTTTTGTGTGAGCATATGAGTGAACACCCCAGACCACTCGGTGACCACACGTCTTTGTAAACTAAAGTTTTATGCGTTTTAATGAATAATTGTTCGAGTGCACCTATGCTTTCATTATAAAGGTGGGGGGGGGTGCTAACACAGAATCCAAAAATTCTCGTGACAGGAGCATCAGGGACGAAATATACCGAACTTGCCCTTTAAGTTGTTTCATAATTCTAATTAGCCTTTCGCCGGCCCCTCCCCCAAATGGTCATTTTCAAATCATAGCAAACCTTACTATGTGAGCTGGTCCGCCAACCATTGACTTCAAGCAAGATGGTGAAGCGGTGCGCCCACGGCATCTGTAAATCAGACACAAGATACCCCGAGAGATTGTCTGGAGAAGTTGTGTTTTTTCCCTTTCCAAAGCCAAAAACACAACACGAGCGGTGCCTAAGATGGATTAAACAGTGTGGACGGCCCCACTCCCAGTTAAATGCAGCATGCGTGAGACTGACACAGTGAGATTAGTCAAAGAAGCACGGAGAAAGCAGGTCAAGAGGATCCACAAATGAATTACATTTTCTAAAGGGTTGTTGTTAACATACCATGATATTCTTGGGGAAAATGAGCAGCAGTCAGCTAAGTTAGCAGTGCAGCACCATAGACTACAGTTTAGAGGAGTGCAGGCTTGCAACGGGGAAAGCATGTATTAACTGCCCTAATAACGTTAGAAAGTCATGCAAATAAAAAAAATGACATGACAACTTATCGTTATAAAATCATTATTTATTTTATTAAACGTTAAGAATTCAGGTTTCTTTATCAGTACCATAGCAACGCTCAATTTCCGCTGGATTTGTCAGATAGGAACTGTCCATAGCTTTTCGCAAGAGTTAAATTTTTTGAACGCATCCGGATGACCAACGCACACGATTTTCTTCCCGTTTCAGACCCATTCGCATGCGGTCTGCGAATCTCCATAGGAAATGAATGACTTCCGACTGTTTCGGAGTCGTATCGGAGAGAATTTCAACGGCCAGTGTGAAGGCGGCGATAGGGTTTGACCATTTGTTTGACAGACCTAGCAACAGTAACTAAGGGGGACAGGGCTCGGCAAAAGGCTAATTCTGTCCTTTTCCTGTTTGTTACTGTAAATCTGCTTTGAAACAAGCTATATAAAATGTGTTCAAATACTATCTGGACCCGCACTGTGTTTCTAACCCCTCTACAAACATCTCCATAGTTCACCGATATTCTATTCTGTCATTATCGACCTTGTACGTTGGACTGCAACAACTGTTTTTTTTTTATTTTTCTCTATTTCAGTGGTCTTGAACTTGTGGCCTAGACAACACACACAAACTAGACCACCTTTGAGGACTCTAAGCTTTCAACTGTGAACAATTTCACAGCTCAATGAACAATTTTCACAACAATGCTCTCCCTCATGCCCCAGAAAATAAAATTCTTCCTAGATATCACTCCCTGATCGACTTGAGTTGTGTGTCATGAAACAAGCCCATTGAGGAGCCAGATGACACTTCAGATGAGTGCTGTCCTGGTTTACAAAATAAAATAAATGTTTAATCAAAGGAATTGAAAATTCTGCCACCATTTATTCATCCTGATGTGGTCCGTATGACTTACTTTCTTTTGTAGAACAAAAAAAAAAGACTTTATGCAGAATGTTTGCATTACTCTTTCCTATATAACGGACAGACGTCACAAATATTTTTTGTGCACAATGATCTAAATTGTGCTGTTTTTTTATACACAAATATATTGTATGACTTCATAAGACTTGGAATAAAATACATATGGGTTAAAATATATCAGTGCAATTACATGGGGTGTTGGCGTTAACGCTTTGAATGGGTGATTTGCTTTGAATGGGTGATGTTGAGTTGAGTTCAATTGTCAGTTCCGTTGCATCGCAGCACTGGCGTTGCTTGCAGCAGAAGTTAAAAATGTTTGAACTTTTCAAGTGCCAACGCAGGCATCAGCCAAGTATATTGTCTATGCAAATACCCTAAAGCAGACACTAGCCATTTGCATACATGGAAACCCGAAAGAGTAAAGTGATTGGCCGTCACTATGACGGTAGCAACAGCACCAAGCGTCAAACATGCCTTCCATCAAGCGTTGATGCTCCATGTGAATGCAGCATAAAATCATTTTGATGACAGAATTGTCATAATTAGGAAAATCTTCATATACAGTACATGTACTGTGACCTCTTTAAGTCTGCAATTAGCAATAGATTTAGCTCATCTCCAATCCTGCATTCAACGAGTCTCTCGCTCAGTAAAATTAGCCACCTTCATCTTTCAGCCGACTGGCTTCGGGGCAACGAACAGGAAGTACATCAAAGTCTCTATTAGGCATGAAACACAAAATATTTGGTGACAAACCACTCTTGCGCTTCTGAGTGCTTCTGGGTAAGAGTTTATAAATGAAATAGACACCCTGAGCCACAATGAATTAAACAGGTCAGAGAAAGTTAGTTCCGTCCATTTGGAACAAGTGACCCCTGGAGGATGATGGGCCAGCTTTATAACTGTACAATCTCAACTTCATTATGTCCTTTTAGCAAGAGACGCACTATATGCACACGAGTCAGTAAATGTTAGCAAAAGGACACAGCTGATACTCTAGGGCAGGGGTATTCAATTAAAGTTCCAGAGGTCCAGTCTCTATAAGCCAGCTAGTAATTAAAAAAAAAGAATTGCCTTCTCTTGCCATCTCTAAATAATTTTCCAAAATCTAACATTGTTTATTATGAAATGCTCTTTAAGTTGATTCATAACGCAAAATGTATGAAACAACGTCTAAAGACACCACGCATTAAAGGGATACTCCACTTTTTTTTTTAAATAGGCTCATTTTACCACTCCCCCAGAGTTAAACAGTTGGGTTTTAGTGTTTTCGAATGTATTCAGCCGATTTTATGATATTTAGAAGAATATCAGTAACCAGACAGTTTCTGGTCTCATTGACTTCCATAGTAGGAAAAAATATATGAAGAGTTCAGATGCAAAAGCCTCTAAATGCCATTTGAAATTTTCTTCTTTAATGATGATTTTTATCAAACTTGTATATTTAAGTTCAGTAATTTCACTTAAATAACAATTAATAGGTAATTACCATTGCCATTTAAGTGAAATCACTGAACTTAAATATACAAGTTTGATAAAAATCATCATTAAAGAAGAAAATTTCAAATGGCATTTAGAGGCTTTTGCATCTGAACTCTTCATATACAGTACTATGGTAGTCAATGAGACCAGAAACTGTCTGGTTACTGATATTCTTCTAAATATCAGAAAATCGGCTGAATGGATTCAAAAACGGTAAAACTCAACTGTTTAACTCTAAGGGAGTTGTAAAATGAACCTATTACTAAAAAAAGTGGAGTATTCTAGTTTTCTAGTGTTTTAGAGAAAGTTTGTATTTTGTTGCTCAACGTGTTTCTGCTACCGTTGTTAAAATAACTGCGTCATCTCCAGCTCTTAATGTGGTGCTTTACTTTTTCAGCTAGGGAGAGGGAGAGAGAGAGAGAAGCAATGCGCATGGAGCGGAAAGGGCTTGAACGAAGCACTTTTGGCTCTCTAGATAAAATATTATAGATATAGCTCCAAAAGATCATTACCATAAACAACCTTGTGGTGTGTGCTTGTGCTTGTGGTTGTGGTGTGAACCACTCCATTGCTTTGACGCGCTGCTCATTTTAGTCTGGAGAAGCGGTAAAGTGGCGCAATTATGTCCGGTCTGCCATTTGAATAACCCTGCTGCAGGCAGGGTATGGAAAGTTCTGGACAAGTAAGCAATAATTTGTATGCTGAGAGGGGTTTGACATAATACAGCTGTAATGAGAGTGAATGCAAACTTTTAATCTGTTTCCTGAAAAATAGATTAAAATTTTAAACGCAATTTACGTGACTTCAGAAAACCGTTTTCATCAGTTAAATTTAATGAAATGAAACTAATTAAAACTCTAACACAGCCCTTATTTTCTCAATTAAGCTGCCACTCAAAATTGTCACGACATATTTACAAATGTGTCAACTCAGGCAGGAGTTTTCTGATATTAAAACTGATGAGTGTACAATACCGAACAAAAGTTTGCTGTTTTAAAGAAATTAATACTTTTATTCAGCAAGGATGCATTAAATTGTTCAAAAATAGCCAAAAGACATTTATAATGTTACAAAAGATTTCTATTTCAAATAAATGCTGTTCCTCTGAACATTCTTTTGCATCAAAGAATCCTGACAAAAAAGAAAAAAAAAATGTAATAATATTACATTTTTAAATTGTATTTCTGAACAAATAAATGCAACCATTGTGAGCATAAGAGACTTAATAAAAAATAATAATAATTTTGAAAGTATTAGTACATTAGTACAGTATTTTCCCCCCGAATATGCCTACATACACCAATGTAATGTGCAGTGTTAACTATAAATAATCCATTGGTAGATTGACTTCCTTAATCACTAAGAATTTACAGCACTGACTGATAGTTATTAGCCCCTTTCACACAGCGCGTTGATCCCGGGAAATTGCCAGAATGCCTTCAGTGTGAACGCAAACACGACCCCGGAATGATACCGGCATCGATGCCGGGTTGGGGACCTGGTAACTTTGCCGGGATCAGTCCCGGAACGCTCGCTGTGTGAACAAAAGCCAGGACCAATGCCGTAAGGGGTGTGTCATAGTGATCGTGCCATCGCGCGACTCTGTTGCTCTTAGAAGAAAGTTTGTGTTCGTCATCAACAAAGAAAGGACGAACAATTGGAACAAAGCAGAGACCAGGAGCTCCTCTCTATGCGCGCTGAAGCTGAGATCGTTCACCAGCTTTGTGGAACGGTATGCGCGTGTACATGTTTTCGACGCGTAAGTTACACGTCTCATCCTGACGTCATGTGTCTTTTCCGGGATCTTTACGGGTTGTGTGTGAACGCACTCACAGGTCCCGGCAAATCACTGGCAGTGTGAATGAACTGAAACTGAACCGAACTGTATTTTCTGGAATCTCTGTGTGAAAGGAGTTATGCAAATCAGGTAATGACATAAGCAAATAAAATCAGTGCATGAAACCAATTTGCACAGTGCAATTCCCCATCTTACAGGTCGGTTCTGAGTGTTAGGTTACTTTACTGGAACTGTACAGCATCAGTCCGCCACTGCTGTCCAAACAAATGGCTCTTTTAAATGCCAAAAATATGTTCATCTACACTGCATACACAGATATATAGTTAGTTAAACATTTTTCTCCATCATTTGATAATTTTTTTGATGATTTTCTACTCCTCTGATCAACAGAAATGTACACACAGACATCTCCTTTTTAATAGAT